AACTACCGGGTCTGACGGCGGCACCGGTAAAAAGTTCCTGGTGGCGTTGGGGAGGGAGCGTGGGCGTCTGGAGCGGCATCTGCCACATCTTCACCCGGCGGGGACCGACGTGCAGGAGCTCCTGTCCCAGCCGGGAGGGCCTGTGCCCCCCCGGGGGGGGGTGCTCTGATGGACACCCAGGGACCGTGTTTGGATCCCTCCTTGGCAGGCACCGGGGAGACATCTCTTTGCACCTGACAAGGGCTTTATTTCGGGAAGCGTAAGGTGTGACCGAGCGGGCAGGGGCAGCCCCCGCTCTTTTCAAAGGCTGAACGGTCCGTGCCCGCTTGCTGGGTGCGGGGCAGGAGGAGGTGCTGCCCCAAGGGGCTGCAAACTGCGGGCAGGGACTGGAAAAGGCTGGGGGGGCCTTGGGGACGGGGGCCTGCCAACCTCGTGTTTGTCTTTTATCGTGCGTGGCAGTGTCTCTCCCTGCCCGGGATCGGGGGGGCTGGAGGAGGTTTCGGAGGGGAGGGAAGGAGGGAGGGAGGGAGCGCGGAGGGGGGAGCAGAGGTGCAGAAGGGAGGTGGTCAGGGCTATGCTGTCAGTGTTTCCCGGCTCTTTCTCGGCGCCCGCGCGGGACTTGCACGGCCACAGTCACGCTCTAGTCTTTACTGCACTTAAGCACTAAGCCCCGTTTTACAGGTGGGAGGCGGAGGCCTGGGACCCGTCTGGCTGCAGCCTGTTGCAGAAGAGGGCTCAAACCTGTGTTCAGTCCCGCAGACCCTCCCTCCCTGCCGTGCCGAGTGGTGCTGGGCTGCACAGACTCTGCTCCAGCTCTGCCTCCCGCTCAGCCGGGGAGAGTTACCCTGCACTGAGGCTGCCTGGCTATCCCCTCCCCGCTGCGCACTGCTCCCCTGAGCTGGGCCTGGCCCTCGGCACACCTTGTGGTGCAAAGATCGGCAGCAGTGCACATGGATACAGCTGCACGCCGCCCTGCTGAACCTCTGATGGTGCGCAGGGTGGGTGAGGAGGGTGTTTCATGGCCTCTCACAGGTCTCCTGAGTGCAAATAGAGCTCTGCCAAGCTGCCCCTCCTTCCTCCTGTCCAGTTACCTCCGCACAATGGACGCAGTGTGTGCCTGCAGCTTCCTCTGCAAGAATTACAGTTGCATGGGCAGGCACTTTATCCTTTCTGATCTCTCCTCTTCTCCCCCCCTTCCCCTGAGGGTTTGTTTTCCAGCAGGCTGAGTTCAAAAAGGGCACGAGATACTGCTGGCAAACAGTCTGGTGCTAAACAAACCTTTTTAGTCAGAATCACGTGGATTAGACCCAACTTTCCATTCACATGCAGTGCTACCTGTGAGCTCCTCTGAATTTCACAGCGGCCGAGCTGCTAGTGTAAGTACCGAGGCGGGTGAGGTAGCACCTGAAGCCCGTGACAGAGATCTGGAGCACAGCTTGCTGGGGGTAGGTGTGTGCTGCCGATGACTCTAGGGGCATATCTAGTGCAGACTGCCAGAGCTGCTCTCCTTCAAGGAGAAGCTCTGGCTCTGCCAGACAGCAATCTGAGAGCCGGCTGCCTAGGAGACTGCCAAAGACACCTTGTCTTCAGCCAGAGGTGAAGCTTGATGCACAAAGTCCTTGGGCTACTCTGAACAGCATAGCTAGGTAGTGCGGTTCTGTCCCTGAGTGAGAAGCTTTTTGGCAGACGCTTCCTCTTCATCCCTTGCCCCCAGCCTCCCTCCTACCCGCTGTCTGTCCTGTCCCCCTTTCTGTTCGTCTCCCTCCTACAGTGAGCAAGTTTGGAGGACAGTCTGAGTAACTTCACGCTGCCTTTTTATGGTAAATATGCTGCAAGGGAGTGCTGTAGGAGGGGTGGCTTCTCAGGACAGCAGTGAGCCCATGAGACTGGGCAAGACTTAAATCGCCTTGGCTTGTGGTGCCCTGGGTGGGGGGGGGGTAGGAGGTGAAAGGCTGGGTTGAAGGGCTGGTTTCTCTCTTTACTGTACCCGGAAAGATCTCTGAGCAGCTCCTTTCTTAGCACTTACTGTCAGTCTGTGTGCCGAGGGCTCGTGCTTACTGGAAATCCACTGGCTGTAACTGAGGCCAAATAGTTACTGTGTTCTGATGATGAGGGGTGCAGGCTCAGCACTAATGGTAGGAAAAGAAGCAAACCAAAAAAAAGCAAGCACTCTGCCAGCCCATCAGTGGGTACAGTGTTGAAGTCCAGCTTGCTTGGCTGCCAGCATTTCGCTCTTTGCTCAGATCCGTGAGACCACACCATTTCTGGGGAACCTGACCCCAGGCAGAGCACTGCCATGGGTCTGAGGCAACTCATCCTAAGTAAGCCTTGCTCAAAACATACCTTGTGGGGTGCTGGGGTAGGTGAAGACGTGTTCTTACAGTGCCTGCCAGTGTTAGAGCTGGGGAGCGGGATGTGGGAGAATAGACTCCGTATATTGATGCTTGGCTGTGTCTTGGGAGGGTGGTAGTTGTGGGGGAAGTGGATATTCTCCCCAACCATGTTTTCCTGCTGTCCTTCCACCGCCGGGAGGGAAGGAGCCTGGCAGAGTGAGGTCAGGGATGTGGATCTTTCCAGCTGTGGTTGGAAGGGAGCAGTCCTGGTGTGGGATGAGGTGGCCCTTCTGGCCCTGTCTCCTTGGGTCATCCCTTCCTGCCCTGCTCAGCTCCCACACCATGGTGTGGCCATCTATTTTCTTTGCTTCTGGATGAGCTCAGCCAATACTTTGGGATGGCTAGGGATAAATTGTGACTCACTTCAAATAACCTGTAGACAGAGGCATGTCCAGGGAGTATTTTAGTCCCTGACACATGAGCCCTGCCTAGAATGGAAGGCCTGATTCACTCACGGTATCTCACTGGAGACCAGCACCTTTCAGGAGAGCTCCAAATCTCTGTCCAAATGAGGAGACAAGGGCAATGAAGCATACCAGCCTCTGAGCATGGCATTGCTGGTGGTGGCAGCTTGCACCTCTGATCTCTGACCTGGGGCCTGGAAAGGCAGCAGCTGGCAGGGGATGTTGGTGGTGTAGTCCTTGAGTTCCTGAAGTGTTGCTGACAGGTCTATTGCTTGAAGCGGTAGTCTGAGGGGAAGGGAAACCCAGGTCAAACAAGCTTAAGGGGCCTTTTAATGTGTGTTTTCACTTGGAGGCATTTTGTTGCTGTTCTCTGTCAGGGTGCCCCTGCCCTTCCCAGCTTAGCTGAGACTTGGCATCTCAGGAGAGAGACTTTTTTTGGCTTCCCAGGAGAAACAACAAGTCTGGCAATGTGCGCAGAGCCCTGCTGAGAGATAGTGACCACCTCCTGCCTCCAGATGCCTTTTCCAGAAAGCCATTTACAGCCCCAGGCTCTTACTTGGATAACTCCCTTCCCTGATTCATTAGCAATGTGCAGTCTCTCCTGTAATATCTCAGA